GTTGACTACTGTATATATATATATATATATATATATATATATATAAAGAAAAAACTAAAAATAATAATACTAATAAAAAGACAACAATACAAAATTACTATCACTAAAATTTAAAAAATGGAAAATGTCAAAAACTAATTCAAAATATTATATGGCATAAATAATATATATGGCAAATATAAAAATATAATAACATGATACTAAAATACCACAAAGGCCAATAACCTTTAAAAACAAACTCACACTTTACAAAAAGTGGTTCAGATTAGATGTTCAATTAAGCAAAGTGGTTCATTTAGACATAAATGATCCAATTATGTAGACAAGAGAAGGCCAGAGACCATGAAAGAGGCGCATCATAGGTAGAAAAACCTGTGCATGTTTGTGTGTTTGTGTGTGTATGCCATGAAGTAAGAGTGAATTTGGGTCACAGGAGCTTCCTGTATTTCCTGATGTGTAAGTACAGCAGGCCGTTTCTCTGTACTGGAACTACATCATATGTTCTCCATTCATCACCAAGTCATCAGCTGAGCCTTAAGTCACACAAAATGCTGAGAATACACACGTAGACACACACATACACACACACACACACACACACACCGAGCAGAAGACTTCTCTAACCCAAACACACATAAACACACACATGTTAATTCCTGACATGTGAAACAATATCCCGTAATAGAACACAACAGTCATGGTTCAGGAAGCAAAAATGGCAATTTAATTTGCATAACATGTGAAACTTTCAAAACAAACCTGAGCTCTTGAAGATAAACAGTGGTAAGTCACTGTTATTTCAACTTTTAAAAATCATGTTTAATTGCCAAATTATACAGTTTTATATAGTGTATTATTTTTTGATTACTTTGAGTTATTGCTTCAAAATGTATTTTTCTTTTGCCTTTTTGTCTTTGATTTTCAAATACCTATTTTTTTTATACTTCAAATCAAAGATTGTAATACTGCCATTGTATTATATTGTTGTATTATACTTTACTATGAAAAATAGCACCAGATTGTTATTTAAATAAATGTACAGTTTCATTTGATTTACTCTTTATTTGAATTTTAAATAGATAAAGTAAATGGATTTAAATAATGGCAATATCTTTCACCCCTCAAACCATTTGTCCACAAACCATGACTCAATATTTCATGTTAAATATAATTTAATTCCCATTAATAATAAAATATACCTGTTTAATAAAGATTTACATTTGTGTCCCTACACTTTGTTTTATAAGAAAGCTTGCTGTTAGTAGATATCAACCCTAGTAAAATAAAATCATAATAAAACAAATATGTATGTTAAAGTTTAAAAGATTAATGTAAAATAATGTCTTGGTATTATGCACCAAGTTCTGTAGCCTGTTTCACTTCTGTAGCCTGTTTTGTCTCTAGATTCAGCATGTACAGAACATCACACACACACCACTAAATAATCATGTTCCTTATTCTCTACACTTCCTACACTTTCTACACTAAATAATCATGTTCCTTATTCTCTACACTTCCTACACTTTCTACACTAAATAATCATGTTCGTTATTCTCTACACTTCCTCCTGACATAATGAGATCATCTATCTAGTACATTTGGCTGTGGCGTGCGTGCGCACATGGTCGTGTGAGCACATAATTACAATCCACTCCCCATGTAAATACATGCAAAATAAAGCTCAAAACATCTAAACATTGCAGGAATAGAGCATAACATCTAATGCAGTGTACATGGTGTGCCCAAGCGCCCAAAAAAACAGAGAAGGCGAGGGAGAGAAAGAGGGTGCCTATGCCACACCTCTCTCATTCAGAAACAGCAGTGCTCCCTCTCTCACTGTAAGACATAATCACATGGTCTACGAGATTTACAACTCCAGAGTAAATCTTAGTTTATTTCCACAACATATGTGCAGTCTGAGACAATTATAGTCCAAACGCAACGCAAAAGCCACAGTGCGTGCAAGAGCAGCGCCGCGTCAAGAGCGCGTCTCCAAAATAACCAGCGCTCACTGAACAATAGTAAACACACGAGTCCGAGTCATTACGCCGAATCGATTCTGTTGAACTGTTCATTCATTTAAAACGATTCAATTACAGGATTTAAAACAGTTTTATATTAAGCGTAACAGAGCGGCTTGCGTTTTTACGTTTATCTCAGTAAGCAACGTGCAGTTTATTCAAGCTCAAGTCTGATCGTTAAAAAATACAAATGTGACAATGTAGCTATACTTTGTATTATAGCCATACTTCGCCTAAAATCTCACATACAAACAAGGAAATACTCATTTGGTGTCTTGTGCATTTTACGTATTATAGTCATTAATTCATTAAAAACACACCTATTTATCTGATAACCAGATTCGCTTCAGACCAATTCATTACAAGGAACCGATTCAAACGAACGATTCGTTTACGAATCACTACAACGCACTCCATACACACAACCATGATCCCTAATCAGCGTTAAGCAATCATTATGAGACTAGTATGACAATCAGACTTAAAAGCAGACTCATTTTTATAATTATTATTATTTTGAACAATTAGATCATTTTCACGTCCGACGCGAAACCCAAAATGACCTACTCCGCTCAGACTGACTGTATGTCCTCGATCCAATGTGTTGAACAGATTTTTTTTCCAAATCCATACGTCATCTCATTTGAGAGAGAAGTCGTCATGTGTGGTAATGTAGAAAGCAAAGAAAAATGGTCAATCTTTCGTTTGGTTCTCCCGTTTAATCTTAATCCGATTTGAATCTCGCTCTCCGTCCGTCCGAACAGCAGTGAGCGCACAACAGAAATGAATCTAAACCCTAAAAATAACAACCCTCGATCCTCTAAAAATGCTCCTTGTTGGCACACAAACACATGTCCAGTGAATGAACATGCAGAAGAACAACAGAGACAGCTGCACCCACCTCGTGGTTTGAAAGGACACCGGTTCGTTCGGTCCGGGGGTGTGGACCGGTGCGGTCCGGCGATGGAGAGCCAGCACGGGATGAAGGGAGCAGGATCCGGCTGATACAGACGGGACAGACAGGTGTGGAATGATGTTTGGGCTGCGTGTCGGTGCTGGATGCTGTCAGGATAGGGACCAGCTTAATCCTCCATCTGAACGCAGACAGCCTCTCCTCGGCCACTCCACCCCTCCCTCATCCCTTCCCAGCGAGGTCCGATTCGCAAAGGAATCGCTGTTTTGAAATGGTTCTTTATATTGATTCAGTTGAACCGATTCGCAACGCGTTTGTAAATCGCGACTGTTATGAGAGGACATTTCACAATTTGTGTGGCTTAGTCGAAAATACAATTAAAACAGCAGTATTTAATAAGAAATGTAGAAAAATGTATTAATAAGTTACAAAATCTGCAATAGAATCGAATTACACAAAGAAACTAACAGCACTTTCAAGTAAATTAGTAGCCTATGCCTTTTTTTTTTACTTTTAATTTCAGGAACCACCAACGAACGAAAATTGCATGAACCTAATAATGTCCAATATGTATATATTGAGATGCAGACAAACAAACACGAAAAATATAAACAAATAACCATGTTTAATTAACCATGGTTTTATTACAAATAAAACAAAAAAAACTATGGTTACTGTAGTTAAACCATGGTAACCACAAATTAACAATGGGTTTGCTACCCTAACCATAGTTTAACCATGGTATATTTGTAGTAAAACTGTTGTTATACAAATGGTAATCAATAAGCCAAAAAACCGTGGTTACTACACTTATACTACAATAACTCCATGGTTAACTTTCGTAAGGGAACTTTTGTTAAGCAGTAGGCCTAAACTAAACAATCTAATAGGTGCGACTAATAGTAAGTATTGGGACCAATAAGATCCAGCCAAATGTAATCGAACACTTACTGAGTTCACGTTCATGTTTAAAAATGACTTAACAACATTATGGCAATTCATGGTCAGTTGCAAAGTTGTTTTAAATCCACTTAGTAGTTGTTAGGTTTTTCCAAGAGGTTAGTCGCTTTACAAACTGTGACATGTTTAGCTTTAAAACTCTAGTTTTTGGTCCTGTCAGTATGTTCGCGATTTTAATATATTTTATATTTGATATAAAATATAATATAATTTATATTTAATATATTATAAAATATAATATATTTTTGGACACAGGCACAATTTATTTATTTTTTTTAGCTGCTGACCAAAACATATTCACGTTGCAGTTATATAATGAATACGTGTTTAAAGTGCACACTTTGATCTATCAGAGAGATATCAGGAACATTAGGAGTGGTCAACTCAACAGTTTAGTAGCCTACATTCTGAGAAAAAAGTACGCACCGGTGAGCTCAGCAACATAAAAAGGGCCTGGACGTCCACGGAGGACAACAGTGGTGGATGATCAGAGGATCCTCTCCATGGTAAAGAAAAACCCTTTCACAACATCCAGCCAAGAGAAGAACACCTCCAGGAGGTAGGTGTGTCACTGTCAAAGTCTAGAATCAAGAGAAGACTTCATGAGAGCAAATACAGAGGGTTCACCACAAGGTGCAAACAAGGCCATTTGACTTTGCCAAAAAACATCTAAAAAAGCCAGACCACTTCTGGAAAACTTTCTTTGGACGGCTGAAATTAAGATCAACCTGTACCAGAATGACGGGAAGAAAAAAGTATGGAGAAGGCTTGGAACAGCTCATGATCCAAAGCCTACAACATCATCTGTGAAACATGATGTAACAGTGTGATGGCATGAGCATGCATGGCTTCCAGTGGCACTGGGTTACTGGTGTTTAGTGATGACGTGACAGAAGACAGAAGCAGCCGGATTAATTCTGAAGTGTATATGGATATACTGTCTGCCCAGATTCAGTCAATTGCAGCCAAGTTGATTGGACGGCGCTTCATAGTACAAGTGGAAATGACCCAAAACATACTGCAAAAGCAACCCAGGAGTTTTCGAAGGTGAAAAAGTGGAATATTCTGCAATGGCAAAGTCAATCTCCTGATCTCAACCTGATTGAGCATGCATTTCACTTGCTGAAGACAAAACTAAAGACAGAAAGACCCACAAACAAACAACAACTGCAGTCAGCTGCAGTAAAGGCCTGGCAAAGCATCACAAAAGAGGAAACCCAGTCTTTGATGATGTCCATGAGTTCCAGACTTAAGGCAGTCATCGCCTGCAAAGGATTCTCAACAAAATATTAAAAATGAACATTTTATTTATGATTATATTTATTTGTCCAATTACATCTGAGCCCCTGAAAATGGGGGGACTGTATAATAAAATGGTTGTAATTCATAAGCGTTTTATGTTATATTTTTGTTCAACCCCTTAAATTAAAGCTTAAAGTCTGCAGCACTACAATTTCATCTGGATTGTTTTATTTTAATTCTATTCTGGTGGCGTACAGAGCCGAAATGATGAGAGAGTCATTGTCCAAATATATGACCTAACTGTATGTACAACAGTTCTGTCACGACAACATAAATGCATATTTAAATAATCACACATAAAGACGAAGAGAATAAAAACAAGAAAAACGTCCCGCCGCTGTTTCTGGAAACACTTCATTGTGGTCTCAAACGAATCGACTGAACAATTTTTGAACCGCTTGAAACGAACTGTCCGAACGAACCGATTCGCCAAAATGAATCAGACTTCTGCACGATATCATCCCTCAATCCGACGCCTTCTGTTCCTCTCTCTCTCATAGCCGTCTGCCTCCCTGGGGTCCTCCTGCAAGGTCAGGAATGGTAGAAAAGAAGGAAATTAAACGACCGGAGAGAAAATTCGACACAATTATAAATTGCGCTACACAAAACATTTTTGTCATGCTAAATAATGCTAATAAAAAATACATTTTGATCAAACAATATGTCTCCTAAACAAACAACAGTGTCAGTACGATACGAAATACTAATGTTTCTTAATTCACATATTTTCAAATTTAAACGATATCCTACATGCTTATTATCATTTCATTCATACTGCACATTGCTTATTTCATATTAGGCTATAGGAGAGCCCCGTCGGTCTCCATACTTGGGCAGTTGCTACAACCCGGAAGTGTGTCGTCAGCGCACATGACCGGAACTCGATCACATGATCAGTGTTTTCAAAGAAAACTTGTATCCATTCAGCCGGACGCGGCTGAGATCCTGCGCTTTATCACTGTAAGTAGATTTTATTACCCATCATATATCCATAACCATTATTCGACAACTAACGACACTTAAAAACGCAGCTGGTTGTAAATAAAGCTGGAGGGTTTGATGTTATTCATATAAGTTCAAAAGCAAACATATGCAGTTTTATGATTAACGTTATATATTGCCATGCTGATTATACACTGTACATGTCATTGGATCATATTTATTAAAGCAAATGTGCATCTTGGTTGTTTTGCTCCTCAATGGACAGGGCTTTGCTTGATCATCTGAATTGGTCAGTGTTGGTCAATACAGTATTGATCTGTCTTTATTTTTAGAGTCCTTAAGGTTGCAGTGACCTGTTATCTGTGAGAAGTCATGAGACTTGTGATTCTGGACGACTATGATCTGGCCAGCGAATGGGCTGCAAAGTACATCCGCAACCGGATCATCCAGTTCAAACCCACTGCTGACCGCTACTTCACTTTAGGACTTCCAACAGGTGAACTAAAAGTTACCAAACAGTTCCCAATGTATAAAATCCAGTCCTGCCCTATGTATGTTTTTCTTGCTGAATATCCTGTTTCTCTCAGAAATATACCAGAATCTGGAAATTCTATATATCAGGAAGATTATGATTATTATATAATTTGATTATTTTCAGGTAGCACACCCCTCGGCTGCTATAGAAAGCTGATCGAATACCACAAGAATGGAGACCTGTCCTTCAAATACGTGAAGACCTTTAACATGGATGAATATGTGGGTGAGTGTGAACTGAACTGCACAGATCACTTCTCACAAAAGCATGGAATAATAATGGATAAATAATGGATAACGCATAAAACAATGTTAAAGAGCGTTTACACACTGACCCTTCATCCTCATCCCTTTCTAGTCTAGTTCAGAAAACATTTAATAAACATTATAGTTGCATTGTGACATTTTCACGACTTAAAAAAAGCATGTTTTCCATCAAACTCTCATCGTAATGAATCTAGTTGGTTTACTTTTTTTTGTAATTCCCATTATTCTCAGTGATGATTCTCATTAATTGAATGCATTGATAGATTAGAAAATACTGTAATAATTAAAAGCAGCATCATAATTTCTAAATTTGTCTTCATCTTCAGGTCTGCCCAGGGATCATCCCGAGAGCTATCACTCCTACATGTGGAATAACTTCTTTAAGCACATTGACATCGAACCCCAGAACACCCATATACTGGACGGCAACACCAGCGACCTGCAGGCCGAGTGTGAAGCCTTTGAGCGGAAAATTACTGCTGCTGGTGGAATTGAGCTGTTTGTGGGAGGTGCATACAATAAATCAGATCCCAATAATTGGTTTTCCAGACACGGATTAACCGAGAGACACCAGTAACAGTGCTTTGTGATGCATATCTTAATCTGCACTCACAAAACTGGCTCTCTTAAGTAGTTAAACTGCTGCAATAACAAATGCTTTTTGTCAGTAATGCTTGTATGGTGATTGCACATTCAACTCCAAAATTAAAGGTGTGTTTGTTGGCCACTGAATTGATTCTTAAGCTTGCTGTAGCAATAATTGGTTGAATTGTTGTCAGTTTTATTGTAGTATTATTTATATACTATTTATATCGAATTAGCATTTATTTGAATATTTTTAACTAAGTTTTACTAATTGTCTTTTTTATACATTTTAAAAAATATTTCTATTTAGCTTTAATTTATTTTTATATCAGTTGTAGTTTAGGTTTTGTAAATGTATGCATTTTTAATCTAATATTTATATTTTATTTTATTGCAGATTTATTTCAATTAATATAATCAATTTGAATGGTTTTATTTAACAATTACAAAACTGGTTTAAATGATATAGGCGTTACGCTGTTAGTTACATGACGACAGCATACACAGTAGATTGGTTACTTTTGTGAATCTACTGGGGTAAATAAAAAACTTACTTTCATACCCAACTACTATTATATTCAGAATCATTGCATATTTTCATCCATTAATCTGTTATTAATC